TATTCGTCATACTCGGCGATGTCGGGGAAAGAGGTTGTTTTAGCTGGGAAAAAAAATTTGTTCTGAATTAACACACTTTTATCATAAAGCTGATACCTATACCTGAGATACCGTCTGCATTATTATTTCAAGTTTGAAACACGAGAACTTCTGCAAGAGAAAGCCAAATGCAATAGGAAGGCTCAGGCAGTATTGCATGAATATATAACTAGCAGATGGGTGTCATTTCATGAGAGCCAGACAATTTAGCTAGTAATACATAGTAGGTTATGGTAGGGTATTTGCGGCGAACAACCAAGAGTCAACAGTTAGATGTAAAACGATTTTAAACACGAAATACTGCATGGTCGGCGACAGGGTATCGAGTGTGGCAGCCGAGTTGAGACGTTTACAAACGTCACCGAATCATGCATCCTACACCGGTGCGCTGACTTTTAAATAATACACATGATCTATTGAAGTGTTGTTACAGAAGGTACAGAATCTGACGATTGACAATGGTGAAAATTATGATCAGCTTTTGATCATTAGTTATGGTCACTATTTTGTTGGTCTCTTCTTGAATGTTTAGTTTATATTAAGTATAATTAGATTAGATTTTGAATTATTAAGCCTTGTATTTCAAATATCACATAGTTACATACGTCACAACACAAGCAATGCTCGTAGGGTCTATGTTTGACCTGGCTCGTTTAGCTATTTCTGACTAACCCTAACGCTATATTATATACTTATAAAAGAGATTAGCAAAGCAGAGTTATAACGTCTGCATTTGCGGACTAAGTACACAGTAGTCAGTACTTAGTTAGGCTCAAGGGGTCGTTGTCGTATGAGGTACTACAGAAGTGTACCCTACCCTAACAATAACCCTAACCCTAAACATACCTCATATAAAAATATAAACAATACTAAACAACCTAAAAGTAAAACTACCTCGGGTACATATCTGTAGTACCTGATAGTGATACGACAACGACCCCATCTGCTACACTTAAGCTGAGAGGGTCTATGTCCCCCGGGGTACTGCCGGAACGTACCCTGGTACTATCTAATATGCCAGACCGTACTCGTGCCTACTCCACTAACGAGTCTAGGGAGTCGCCTACTCCTAACCTAATCCTAATCCTAACCATATCAAATAGTGACCAGGGTACGTTCCGGCAGTACCCTGGGGGACATAGTCACATAGACCCTATGAGTATGAGTATGAGTATGAGCTACACTTAGAGCCTACCTTAGCTATCACTGTATCAGTCTATCCATCACATCAGTATACAGCAACTGCCGTACACTATAGTCACTACAACTACAAGTACAACTTCCCGTCACTATATCATAGTATTACTATTAGTAATGTAAATAACCCGACAAGATTGTATTGCTGCAAGATGACAGATTCGACATAACAGCTAGTATAATATTAACACGGCTACCGATAGTCCGCAATGCAGACGTAAACGTCCGCTTTGCTAATCTGAGGGTGCGCGGTTTATCCCACCCATTACTGGGTCTGCGTCGG